GCTACCACCACCTGACCCATTGTCTGGCTGGTATGTTGACTTGTAAGTAGCCGAGTTGCGCCCCCAGAAGAACGACCTGTGGGTTGGTTGCGAAGGGGGCGAAAGGAGTTGGTGGGATGATGAGTGCAGACATGAGTTGGGGCCGCTCGTGGCGGAAGTGTCCGCACAACAGCGCCTTGAAGCGGTTGCCCTCATTTGGCGCGGCCCTTTATACACATGTTGTAAAGGGCCGCGCCAAATGAGGGCAACCACTTCAAGGCGCTCCCATTTCTTCGCCACTCACAGCTCAGTTTGCCTGGAGAGGCGCAACTCCCGCAGCTGGCGGCCGCGGCGCAGGCGACGCTCATGGGCGCTGCCAGCCGAGGCGAGCATGGCCAGTAGGAGGACAAGGGCGCGATGCATTTGAACTTCGTATTTAAATATCCTGAAGCTTGGAGTGTTGGATTGATAGCGGGATTTGGTACACATATGTGTCGATCCTTGTTCGACCGACCTGACCACTAAGGACAAGAAAGCGGATGTACACTAGGTACCACCAGCGATGAGAGGCCCTATAGGCACTCACATTTGGTATGTTGTGAATATCGAGGGGCACATGCAACACGGCGGGCGCAAATGTTCTGGAACAGGTGTTGACCGCCTGCACCAGGGGGTGCGCACCTTACCCGACCACTTCAAGACACGGTAGGTTTGCTGGAATGAGACGTATCTTGAACATGACAGCGTTGGAGCCCTCCAGTGTGCAAGGTCAGCTCCCCCTGAGCAGGCTTGAATGGATGCCCTTGGCAACTGCGATCAGACCAGGTTGTCTGCACGAGATGGTTCGGTGTCCTGCTGTCAGACGGTCATGTTTCATAATCACGTTTATCGACCCAGTGTACCAGGGCTCTTGCAGGTGATGGCACTTCCACTGTTGAGATTCTAGCGAACCGGCGGGGCATGAGTCAACGGCAGGCTGTGCAGCCTGCGAGGGGCGCACCAGGGCCAATGGGGCAAGAGATGGGGGATGCAGGCGTCTTCAACATATTTGAAGCGCCATCTGCTAGCATCACTGTTTGCGGCATGATGTACAGTATCATATGCTTCGACAGTAGTGCCGACAGTGCCGACGCCAAACCATGCCATATCGTAGCAACGCGGCCGGTGCTTTGGACTGCGATCAGGGGCGCCGTTCTGCATTTTTCAGACTGCTGTGCCAGGCTGAGCACCTTGCTCGCATACCTACAACCTCAACCCCAGCGGTTGACTGCTGCCGACACGCAGTACACACCAGACCACCTTGCTGATGTCTGCCGGGTGACGTGGGCACTGCCGTCGAGCAGGACCAATCGAGGTGCACATACAGAGGTTAATAAGCAACTTTGAAGTACCGCGACCAGCATCCTGCAGTTCGGTTGAGCAAGATTGAAGCGCGGTCGCAGCCCTGCCACGATGCAGCGCAGTAGTGCAGTGATTTGCGTCACCATAGTTCTGTTTATCAGCGTGCTAGCATGCATGGCACTCTTGGCTGGGGCAGCGCGGCCGATCGCGGCCGCTGCTGGCAGCACTAAGCCGCTGCCGCTGCCGCTCACCCCTGGGACGGCCGGGCGTGAAGGTAGCTTGCCGCACCAGGACGCCCATGGAGGCCTCGTGGATCACACCGCCACGGCTGAGCATCACGTGAAGCACGTGGCGGCGATCACGGGCGCCAAGCCCTCGTCGGGAGAGCAGGCGCGGGCGCACGCGCATGCGCACCACCAAGCGCGGCAGGCGTCGCGCGAGCGGGAGCGGATGCGGAACCAGATGTTCATTGGTTACAACGAGGGCGGCGGTGAGCGCGGCCTGGGGTAGGGTGGAGGGGTCAACCGTGGGCTGGCGCGGCGTGCTGACCACTGGATGACGGCAGCTGCAATCATGTTGTTGCTGCTGGACAAGCGGTGGCCAGCAATGCTGAGAGGGCTTGCGCGCGGCACCCAGGCGACCGGATGGCGCGTCCCGGTGCCGCAACTGGGTACAGCCCCGCGGCCGCCGCCGCAGACGCACATCCTCAGGGCGCGCACGCGCAGCCGCCTGGGCCCCTCGCCGGCCACCACGCCCAAAGCTTGCGGTCAATCCCTACGAGCACCCACCCCTGTCACGAACCGCATGACGCCGGCTGACCTGCGCCCCTTCCACCTTACCCACCCCTCCCCCCAGCTCCCCAGCACAGCATCGTCCTCACCACCAACCTCGGGATCATCACCATCACGCCGCGCAGCGACCTCAGCCCGGCAACCGTCGCGCGCGTCATGGCGCTCGCGTCGAGCGCGGACGCGCGGCACGGCGAGATCAACCGCCACGAGCCAGTCCCGCCGGTGCGGCGCCCGCGCGGTCGCAATTGCTTGCTCCTGCTCCCTTTGCTGGCGGGCCTTCAGCGCGGCGCTCCTTCGGCACCCTCTCAACCCCCACCCGCGAAGCGCCGCGCCCCAAAGCATCCTATCAACTGCCCTTCTTGCAACATCCCCTAAGACCCCACTTATCGCCCCCTCCGGCCCACCACGCCGCCCATGTCGTGCCGCCAGGGCTGGGGCAGCAAGGGGTACGGCCCGCCGTACGCCCTCATAGCCGGCGCCTTTGACTCTCAGGGGGAGGGCCCCCCCCTGGAGGGCAACCCTTCGCTGGTCAGGGGGGACGTGGCTATGGTGCCTGGCAGCATGACGTTTGTGATCGCGCTGGCGGAGCACCCAGAGTGGGGCAACTCCCACACCCTGTGGGGCAAGGTGGGCGGGGGCGCCAGTGCAACCAGCATGCATGCGCATGCTCGCATGCAATGCGTGCATGCATGTTGCATGCATGTTTGCATGCGCATGCATGCGCGTGTGCATGTGCATGGACGCGCCTTGGTCATGCTGCGCAGCCGCACGGGAGGGCCTCTGGGTACGTGCCCTGCACACGCGGGGGGAGCGTCCAGCTGATCAGCGGGGATGTTTGTAATGAGAGTGCCAGATTTACAAGTGGCGCACGGCCCAGCCCGATCGCGCTCCTTGCCTGCGGCGGTTAGCCGCCTCCTCATCACCTTTGTAAACGCGCACGCGCCAGGGAAACCCACCGCTGTGTTCCTGCCATCACCCCTCTTCCCCCCTGCCACGAAATTGAAACAGATTGAGAGCACGGATAGTGAGAGCTGGGAGACCCTCAGCCGCATCCCCACAAAGCCCTACACCAACCTCACAGACGGGCCCATCACAACCCGCTGGCTTCAAAAGGGCGCGGTCGTGCCGCTGCGCGTGCAGGTCGCCGCCGCCGCCCCGCGGAGACACCTCAGACCGGCGCCCGCGCTCGGCGCAGAGGTGGTGGAGGCGTGACCGCTTCGAGGGGGCTCCAGCAGTTCCATTGTTTTAGTGATTCCAACTGTTTGTTACGCACTCACCCATATCTCTTCCATGCACAGCAATGGCCAGTTTCGACCATTTCGCAGCTGCACTGCCGGAAGCTCAGTGCTGCCTGACACATCTCTGCCCAATGGGCCTGGCCGCTCCTTTCTCTGTCCTGCTCTTGTGTTTGCTGTGTCAACTCATGACAGCGTGCGTTTTTGCCGCAAGATCTGCATGTCCCGGAGCTTACCTTGGACGCACTACCGTGCCCAATGAGTCAGGGAACCATCCAGCACTGCAATTAGGGACAGACGCGGCCACAGCCCGGTTTCCCTTGCATCCAGTAGTTCCTGTTGACCCTCAGGCACCAGATTCGACCCCTGCGCAAGAGAACCCTCGGCCACCCAGCACCCCACAGCTGGCACCAGCTTGCAGCGATTGCCAGGCTTCACCCAAACGCCTCGTCGCTACTGGGCTCTGTCTCCTGCGCGGCACACACGTCGTCGTGAATGTGAATTTCCAACGCTGTGTTACAATGAGTAACCCTTTGCAACACACGCACGCACAAGCCTCACAGGCCGCTCGCTGCTGTGTTGGTGACAAGACAATTCACAGGAAAACTCACAGGATTCAAATTTTGACAAGAAAAATCACAAACAGACAACCACGACGACGAGCTGTAGCAGGCGAATCACGACCACAAACTGCACGGCAGTAAATGTCCACACCAGGACCGGTGGCTCTGCAGACCGAGGCGGTGGCAGTGGGGACTTCCCTGCGTTGCACTTGCGGCAGGTCAGCCATTGAAGCAGCACATTGACCCCCTCACTCACCTGCGTGATGCGCGACGGCCATCGCTCTAGCCAGCAATAGTCCGGCCGGCATCTGGGCGTCTGGCCAAAAGCGCGCCAGCTGGCGCTGCAGGACCTTTTGCGGCTACGGCTGTAGTGACCTAGGCTGCGAATGTCGTGCATGCTGCCAGCGACCCCCGTGCAGTGTGCCTCGGCACACATATGCTCACATCCACTCACGCCGCAAGCGAGGCAGCGGGGCGGCAAAACTCCCTCTGCAGTCAACACACACAAGCCAGGCAGCAAGCAGGGCACAAGCCACCCAGGCAATGCAGAGTCCAGAGAGCATCGGCGCATGCTGCACGCAGCCACCTGACACAACCGTTGCCAGCTCCGCGCTCACCTGCAGATCAACGCCCCCGTCCCACAGTCAGTGAAGTGCCGTCCCAAACGCCCAGCAGCTCGATGGCAGGTCAGATTCCAGGCAGCTACCTCCTCCAAAGCCCAGAGGGCCCCAAATTCGGCCACAGCAGCGGCCCGCACGTGCACGCCGATTGGCACTTGCGCGTGCGCTCGCCCCCAGCATGGTGGGGGATCTCATTTCCCTGAAACCGGCGGAAACATATGGTGGCATCCATTTGGTGAGGTGCACGCCCCGTGGGTGTGCCCCCGCGGCGGCCAGTATCAAAGCTGGTGCAAAGTCCGCAAGGCGCCGCCGGCGCCTCGCGCAAAGCAGCATGGCGCCGGCGGCGGGGTCAGTGCCCAGTGGCTCCCTGTGCCGGCTAGCAGGACTCCCGAAGAGTCCGCCGATCGCAGATTCCGCACATGCTACTGATTGTCGCATGTAGTAATGTGGCAGTAAGGGTAGTAATGCGTCTAAGGCAGCGTTGTCCGCGAGTGCTGCTCGCCCGTCGAGTTTTCAACCCCCATTTGCAGCAAAGCTTTCAGCTTCGCAAAAGAACCGGGTCCGGCCCACATGCCCCCAGCCCGCCAACAGCTGCACGCACTATTACGAGAGACACTCCGCGGTAATAGCCGAGCCATTAGTAATCCTGGTGACGCCATGCCCTGTGGTAGTAGGTCCCTGAGTGCGGTGCAAACATGCAGCCAGCACCGGCCGCCGGGCGTCGGCGCCCAGGCGGTGGGAAACCCCAGCAACAACACAAATCCGCGCGGAAGGCCCCATGGCAGCGCTTCTGCGCCGCAGCATGGAAAGCCGCCGCTCCGCCCCTGGGCCCCCACGCGCGCGCCC